TTCAAGTATATATTATGACATCTGTGGAAGCTGGTAGCTGGTTATGTAAATCATATGGCAGTGATGAATCTAAATATTTACTATAATGAGACATTCTTGTAAGATGAAGGCTAATCAAAATCTAACAATAACGAGATACACCAAAGCATCTACATATGCATGACTGTTTAGTATTAGAGTGTGCATTGAGCAAATTTGATCAAGAGGTAGGTCCAGCGTAGTACAATTTAATTTACCTAATTCAGAAGAACAAAATGCCACTATCATATTATGGATGGATTATATTGTAAGTTCGAGCTAATAAGCAGGGGTAAGTATTTTTCAGTACAACATGGAAGTCCATATATTTATGGTTGTGAAGATTGTTTAAGGAGTGCAGTGGCATGAAAAGCTACCTAAATATATTATGAGTTGTGGTGAATCAAAGTTGCTTAAGTAGGGGTGTCAATAAGTTACCTATATATACGACAACCTGATAAGAAGTGGAATAAAAATTTTGAGCTTAGATTGACTTGATTAGTGAACATGTTTACTTCACATCTGAAATATAGACCTAATTATTATTTCAATTGAGGTTGGATTGATTGATCAAATCAAAATCAACTTGGGTACTTGCATCTTGCTCGAAAAAAGAGAATGTTGGCTACTGAGAAGGGATAGTAACTTGGATATTACCTCTCTCCCTTGTTTTTAATATATCTTCTCCACACAGTCACATTTCGTAGCGACATCTCACAGAATGATAAATTCCTGATAAGAAATGAAATAAAAATTTTGAGCTTAGACTGACTTGATTAATGAACAGGTTCACTTTAGATCTTAAATATATACCTAATTATTATTTCAATTGAGGTCGGATTGATTGATCAAATCAAAATCAACTTGGGTACATGCATCTTGTATGAACAATGATAATGTTGGCAACTACAATCTTAATCATTTAGTGAAGTGAGAGTTGGATGTTACCTTTGATCTCCCTTATTTTTAATATATCTTCTCCATACAGTCACATTTTATGATAACATCTCACAAAATGACAAATTCCAAATCTCTTCATCCCTTCTCATCATTTTGCAAAGCAAAACCCAACTTGCCTCATAGTTGGTTTGATTTTTCAACCCTGCGGTATTGTAGTGGGCACCGATATATGAGTCCCTTGGCTATAACATCACATTTTACACTCTCATTTTCCCTCTAATCATCCTTTCGGCCCTTGGGTCATCTTCCCTAACTCCTCCCGACTAGTGTTCTTCCCCTAATCCTTTGCCAAGCTCTGTAAGTTTCACATACTTATTTCAAGCCCTATAAGTTTCATATATTTATACACAATACATACGTGAGAGTACTCTAACCCATGACCTCTTAATTGAGAGTCCGACTCTCAATCAACAAACAAACAAAAAAATTACGTAAATAAAGATATTATTGAATATTGATGATGATATTATCTTAAGCTGTACTTTTAGGCTTAATAGCATTCTACCTATAGGGAATTAATAATAAAGCAAATTATTAATAAGTCTCATCATTTAGGACTTAGTCTTTCTTTGGGGTTACTTTCTAAGACTTCTTTTGGGATGACTTTCTTATTGTTTCTTAAAGCATTGTTTTAGTACTAAAATTTTAAATTTGATATTAAAACAATACTTTAAAAAGCAGTAAGAAAGCTATCCCAAATGAAGCCTTGGTATGATTACTATTTTCATTACTAAAAATTAAGAAATATGGCCATAAATAAAATATTTCATTTAAAATAAATATTACATGACACATACTTTGCAGTAATTCATAAAGTGCACGAATAATTAGCCAGAACACATCTCGAACCTTTCGTAAAATAACACTCTATACTTTGCTTTCCACTTTCCAATAGCGACCGGATACTAAAAAATTATTATTAGTCATTTATTCACCAACAAATTTCTTTGTTTTTTCTTCGGATCAAGTCCCTCCTTTTACCCCAAAAAAAATGTCTTCATATTAATTTACATTTATTAACACCTACTTAGAATCACAAGATCAATAAGAACCACACAACTCTTCTTGGCCTATTGGTTGAGAGCTTAGGCTTCCAACTAAGAGGTCCAAGATTCGAGTCTATGTGTATGCGTTGTGTGTATGAGTTTGTCTTAATTGGCCTAAATGTCCCAAAAAAAAAAAAGATCAATAAGAACCTGCCTTTTTAAAAGACTCTAATTTTATAAAGTAAAGCAAGCTACTCATAATCACACATTTCTAGTTAAGCTTGGGACAAATTTTTGATTATTTTTGTGATAGCAAGAACATAATTAAAAATAATAATATTCATTTATATAACTGCCTTTATATATTGATTAGAAAAATATATTTAAAATTATGATTAAAAATATAAATAGAAAAAAAATCTCAAATGAAGAATACAATTTAATAAACGCAGTCAACAACCTAGTCAAGTTGGCTGCGCTGTTCACTATTTACCAAATATTATATAGGCATTTATCGCTAACGATATCAATAAAATATATCTTGCAGTCAGCTATAATTTATTTTTTTAAATAAATTTAAATTTTCATACTAAAAAATTATTTTAAAAAATAATTAAAAAAAGCTCTAAATTTTTTTTTAATAAAAAATTAAAATTTTGATACTAAAAAACTGGTTTAAGAAGTATTATTGTATTAATAAAGTTGTCTTAAATAAATTATTAGGTTTCATTTGGCATGACTTTTTTACAGCTTCTTTAAGCAACTTTTTAGTACAAAAATTAAAATTTGGTACTAGAAATTTTCTTTAAGAAACGGTTAAAAAGTCGTCCCAAATATATCCTTTTTACTATTTCTTAAAGCAACTTTTTAGTATAGTTTTTTTTAAAATTTTTATACTAAAAATCAGCTTTAAAAAATAATAAGAAAGCTGTCTCAAATAAAGCCTTAGCTTTCATTTGAGACGGCTTTCTACTGATTATTAAAGCAATTTTTAATTTAAAATTAAAAAAAAAAATTTGAAATTTGCTTTAAGAAATAGTAAAAAAATAACCTCAAAACGAAATCTTAATCTTGGGAGAGATTTCTAGGGCGATGACTGACTAAAGGAAAAATGGGAAGTAGATTAAGGTCGGATGGAAAATAGAGTTCATAGTTATGACCGGAAAAAATATGGAACTGCCGAAAATAACTTTTAAGAGCTACGAATAAAGGCTGGCTGGCGTAATTTAAGTAAAAAAATTTAACTGACTTTTTTATGTAAAATAATAAATATATATATAAAAAAAAAACTAAAAACAATTGTAGTCGCCGTTAGAAGAAGAATACAAATGAATTTAATTATAAATTCATATATATACATACATTTAATATCTCCCTGAAAATCTAAGTGTTCCTCCGCAACCTTCATTAAAAGCCTAAGCTCCCAACAGCAATTTAGCTATGCCGAAAGTCGTTTGTTAAAAACTTCTATATAGACCTGTCAATATTGGACCCGATCCGAAAACCCGATCAGAACCCGACCCGAAATTTTCGGGTTTGGGTTGACCCGAACCCGAAGCGGGTCGGGTTCGGGTCCGGGAAGCCGACCCGTTTACAAAAACAGGTCTGGTTCGGGTTGCATTATAACTTAATTTAATTAAAATTAATAAAATAAAATTATAATTAAATTTATAATTATATTAAGTTATGAAGTTATTACTTAATTTAATTAAAATTAATAACTTAAAATTATAATTAAATTTATAATTATATTAAGTTATAAAGTTATTAATTTATAAATTAATATAATTATAAACTAAAAATAATAACTTTATAACTCAATTTAATTAAAATGTATAACTTTATAAAACATGTTGTTTCTCTCACGCCGCCTATCTCCCATTCGGCAAATTATTGTATCCGGTTGTCTGACGCGCAGAATAGGTTCGAACATCCAATAAAAATATGTCATGTCACCCGCACTCTTGACTGGGCTTTGACTGCGCTTTATGTGCGCTTTAGATGCGATTTGACTGCGTTTACCTGGCCTTTTGACAGTGTTTTACCTGCTCTTTTTACACACTTAATTTAAAATAATATTTTATTAATATTTGGACCTATCTCCGAGTCCGGTGACCATATGCATTAATTTGCCCACTCATTCGGCTATCTCTTTCTTCGGCAAAGTGAGAGAAATAATCTGAGATTTTTGGAGTTTTTAATAATAGCGTCAAAATATATGACATTTTTTCACAGAAAAATGTCAAATAATTTGATGTATTCTTAATTAATTATATTTTTTAAAGAAATTATAAAACGTCAATTATTTGAAGTTTTTGTTTTTGTTTTAAATTATTTAATACGTGTTAAACATCTATATAAATCCATAGGACATGCCTCAGCTAAAACCTAACTTCTTTGAGTTTGAGGAAGACTTGAGAGAGAGAGAGAGAGAGAGAGAGAGAGAGAGTAGAGATTTGATGTTCATCAACTCAAGCTATGTGGGCCTTAAGGGTCACCAAGCCACCCAGCTTCTCTTCCTCTTCTCTCTATGTCTGCTTTCCTCCATTAACATTATTGAAGCAACGGTGCAGCACCTGAAATGGGAGATAAAGTACGAGTACAGATCCCCCGACTGTTTTAAGAAACTCAGCATCACCGTCAACGGGCTCAGCCCCGGCCCGACCATCACCGCCACACAAGGCGACACACTCATCATTCAGGTCACCAACTCCTTAATCACTGAGAACACCGCCATCCACTGGCACGGAATTCGCCAGGTAATTAACTAATTAAACCTTAATACAGATCCCCCGACTGTTTTAAGAAACTCAGCATCACCGTCAACGGGCTCAGCCCCGGCCCGACCATCACCGCCACACAGGGCGACACACTCATCATTCAGGTCACCAACTCCTTAATCACTGAGAACACCGCCATCCACTGGCACGGAATTCGCCAGGTAATTAACTAATTAAACCTTAATCTCAACCACTAATTAACACTTTAATATATTGTTATATCATAACAAGCTCATGATATAGTTTCTTTGCAGTTTCTGCAATTTAGTTAATCAAAATGTTTATCTGGTCAGAGATAGGAAAACGGCAACTTAGATGAATACAAAAGTCTTTAACTGTTCTAATGATTTGTATTAATAATCTTTTTTCTCTATGGCCATTAATGAAGCGTGGCACTCCTTGGAGCGATGGCACTCAGGGAATAACGCAGTGTCCAATCCTTCCTGGGGAAACTTTTACATATCAATTTGTTGTTGATAGGGTAATATATTAAGTCTTAATTCGCACATCAAAATTAAATACTTTATAGATATTGCAATAAGATTTGATGCATTTATGTGTTTGTATATTAATTTGTATGATCAGGCTGGAACATACATGTATCACGCTCACTACGAGATGCAAAGATCAGCAGGGCTGCATGGCTTGATAAGAGTGCTGGTTCCTGAAGGTACAGTGGAACCATTTTCATATGATGAAGAAAGAAGCATCGTCGTTAATGATTGGTGGCATAAAAGTGCAATTGAACAGTCTACAGGGCTTTTATCATTGAATTTTAGCTGGGTTGGTGAGCCACAGGTATAGTTTTCCTCTCTATTACAGTATATTACTATGATTCATATAGAGCAATACATAGCAAAGTCCTATATGGGATCCTGGTTGGGAACCCTTTTGGTATCAATTTTTTACCCGGACAGGCTTCGCCCACCCATGATGACTTTCGGGATGTCGTACACATCTATATCCACCCACTTTTCTTGCTTTTTGAACACAGTATGCCACGAATTGATGGCCTTGAGGCTTGTTGCCCTTTGTTCTGATTGCAAACTTTCAAGCTACATATCAGAATTTACCGTAATCGCAATATGGTTAACCGCTGCACACTACATAGTGAGAATTGTAGTAACATAAAATATACGTTGATTAGTAATGTAAATTGATTTATCCGCTGATATTGAGTACCCAACGATACTCATTAGGTATGAGTGGATATGAACATGGGTACCTAATGCAGGGCTCTACATAATAACTATATTCATTCGTCAAATCTCAGCTAGTGCTTTATTCTTAGGAAGAATTTATATAGTCATCTAAGAACTGTTGGTGCAGTCTCTGTTGATCAATGGGAGGGGGAGATACAACTGCTCATTGGCTGGAACTACTGATGTGTGTGATATGACAAATACTGAATGCTTGCCTTTTGTGTTGACAATGGTTCCTGGGAAGACTTATCGATTGAGGATCGCGAGCCTCGCTTCCCTTTCTGCGTTGAATTTGGAAATAGAGGTACTTCAATAAATTTTAGTGGGATTTACATGAATGTTATATAATTTTTGTTTATTTAATTTACATATTTATCATCTAAATTTTAAATTTATTTGTCAAACTATTTAATAATTTAATGAGATCAAAATATGTTTTATTTTAATTATATTAATATTGATGATTTTTTAATATCATTTAATAAATTAATATTTAAATTTAAGTATTTGATAGGTAAATATATAGAATTTTTATGACCCACTAAGTTTTAATGGATTTAAGTTAAAAAATATTCTAAGTCAACTTTCGCAGGTATTGTTAATATTTTTCATTGAAATACGATATTTTTTAGTAGTTGCTGACCTTATCAAAAGCGTGCTAGCCAAGTAAATGTTCGGTAGGGGTGGGTATAATTAGAATAGTAATTTTAATAAAAATTTACCTTTTTCTTAACTTCTGAATTTTTTTTTTTAAGCGCTTAATTTCTCACGTTGAATTAAGGATTTGTTCGCAATGGTTTTCTTATTATTTCTTAAAAGAGTGTTTTATAAAAAAAATTAAAATTTTTATGTTAAAAAAATTGCTTTAAGAAACAATAATAAAGCCTACCAAAATAAGCCAAAATCACTGGCAAAATTCATTTAATTATCTCTTTCAGCTCAACTAAGTGCTCATGAAATTTTGGTAAAAAATTTTTGTAAATAATGTATGAAAAATCGCATGAAAATCATCTCATTTAATGGTAGATAGTCTCTTTGCACGGATCTCAATTTAGTTTACAATATTACATTTACAATTCATACGTTCATATTGCTGAAATATTTTTAATTTTATGGAACGAGTCTACATAATATACATGAAATAAGATGATTAATATTAAATTTTGTAAACTTAAATGTTATTTTTTTCAAGCTTTCCTACACTGGTAATTACCATTCTTGGGAGGAAAAATTATTATGTGTGGAGATCAGATATAAAGAACCGTTCGGTTTGTCTCTGAACTATGCTTTTATTGTTCATCATTGCATTTTTACTATTCACAGAGACAAAACAGAACTGTTATCTATGTCCGGTCTCTGCACATAATAATCGCTCCCTTGAGAGAGGGGCTCCTGCGAACTAAAATTTTAGAAGTACAAACTAAAAAGTAAAGCCAAAGTCAAGTGAAATGCAAACACTTTCAACATTTGGCAACTCCAGATCCAAAGCCTGAAATTTAAAAAATTGATCAAGTTTAAAAACTATTAAAGTGTACTTTAAAATAAAACATTATAAAATTAACCACACATTTGTTAACTTATAATTTAATCTTAATCTTTTCAGGGGCATGATATGATTATTGTTGAAGCTGATGGTCATTATGTAGATCCGGTCATAGTGAAGAACCTAAATATCTACTCTGGTGAGACATATTCAATTATAGTAAAGGCTGATCAAGATCCATCAAGGAATTATTGGATCGGACTCAATGTTATTAGTCGAAAACCGGGCACTCCTACCGGCACATCTATTCTTAACTATTATCCCATTAGTCCATTTAAGGTACCTCCAACCTTACCACCGACTGGTCCATTGTGGAATGACACGTTGTATCGATTCAATCAGACCAAGTTGATCAAATCACATCCAGATCATATCGAACCTCCACCACCCACATCAAATCGTGTCATCATCCTCCTCAACACTCAAAATAAGGTTAATGGCTATATTAGATGGTGTGTCAACAATGTGTCATTGAACCTACCCACCACACCATATTTAATAGCAATTAAAGAAAAATTGCGACACGTTTTTAGCCAAAAGCCCGCCTTAGAGACCTACAAATACAAAAATTATGACATCCATAGTGTGTTAAAAAACCCTAATGCAACATTAGGCAACTCAATCCATAGGTTGGAGTTCAATTCTACAGTAGACCTCATCCTTCAGAATGCAAATGCACTGAGCTCAAACATAAGTGAGACGCACCCGTGGCATTTACACGGGCATGACTTCTGGGTGTTGGGGTATGGATTGGGCAAATTTGACCCACAAATCGACCCAAAAAACTATAATTTGGTTGACCCGATTCAAAAGAACACGGTGCCATTGCACCCTTACGGGTGGACGGCATTGCGGTTCCAGGCTGACAATCCGGGCGTATGGTCTTTCCACTGCCACTTGGAAGCCCATTTCTTCATTGGCATGGGAGTTGTTCTAGAGGAAGGAGTGGAGAGGCTGGGAAAGCTGCCCAAATCTATTATGGGCTGCGGTCAATCGAAGTCACTTGTGAGAACTTGAAGTATGAGGTTGCTTTGCCGGTCTTAAGTTTTCTGCTGGCTACGATATATTTTTTTAAAATTTATTATTGGTGTTAGGTGCAATATTCATGAATAAAATTGCAAAACTTTTTCTTAATTTTCTTTTGAGAAATCGACCAACATGAAATTCAAGCAGGTTATTTGGACCAACAAAGAATTTGCATGCAATTTTGAGTTATGTGTGGATATTGTTCTTTGTAATTTGTGCACAAGTTGGAGAATATATATTCAAGAAATTTTAAGAACTTAATTGTATAATTTGTTGAAGATGCAATTAATAAATTACCTCATAGTGAAGTGACTAATTTGGTGCATTTACATAATAACACGATGTCGTCATGCAACTAATAAAATTTTTGTCAAATCATTATATTTGGTTTAAAAAGTGCTCCATTCATTAATTATTTTATATGGAAATTTTATTTGGATGACTTTAAAACGGCGAAAGGTCTCAGAAATAATGATCTACGCTCTTCGGATTTTATTGAGTACACTGATCATTTAATTTTTAAATATCCTATTCGATATGACTTATTAAAAAAAACTTTACCTTTGACAACTTTTTTTTCTTTTGGATATCACTCTCATGCAAGTATATTAAAATGGTAACTCTTGCAATGACAAAGTTATGATAAAAAAAGCTTTATCTAGACAATGGTATTGATAATCTTTTGTATTGGGAAAGAAATAAAGGATAGAATTCACAATTTCATCTTTTTTTTTTTAATCTGAGTTTAGTTTAGGGTTGATCATAACTGCACTGATTTGTTGGGATGTTTCTGCTCTTACCAGTTTTTGGGTTTTTTTTTTTTTTTGGGACATGCTCTTATCAGTTTTGGCCCTACTATTTTCAATTTTGGGATTTCTAGACGGTGCGGACTATGGGCATGGATAATTTAAAGCATTCTTTTGGTATCTAAAGCTCAAACTCGCCTCTTCCTTGTGCAGCTATGATCGACCATTTTAGGAATTACACAATTGTATTTATTTTGATTGTTATTCTTTTTTCATTAATAGAGTTTTCTACGTTTACATTTTGTAATTTTTTTTTTGGGAAAAACTCAGGGAAGGACCTGCGCGTTAAATAATATGGTAAAATTACAAGTCCTTAGAGAACCTCAACCTCCCTAAAAAAACATTATTTTAAACAAAACCTATGAGCTGGATTTTCAATATATTACAAATTATATAAGAAAAGAAACAAAAAATGTGAGCCAAAGGATGTGACCCAACGAGCCACCCAGCCAACAACCAAAAGATCCATACCTAAACTATCCACTAGAATCACCCGCAAAATAAGAAAATGCAAACAAAGAAACAAGCAAAACTACAATTAAAAAAATACAGGAGCCCCCACATAGGCATGCCAAAAGGCCCCACAAAAAAGACAATAAAGGCCAAAAAAACAATAGAAAGAGCCCCTACAAAGACACACATACCTCAAATATCAAACAATACCCCCAAATTATAGCATCATAGAGACAGGATAAGCAAAAACCAAAAAGAAGGCCACCAGCACCTCACCACAACAATAACCAACCAGCATAAGATCCCAACCAACAAAAGAGCACCCCAAAGCTAGCCAACGCCCAAGACATACCCCAAACCTGAGCCAAAAGCAACCAACAAGCAAACCATCCAAAAGAGTCCCAAAAAGAGAACTAAACACCCAAAACCAAACTGTGAATGCCAGCACCCAAACAGAAAGAAAAGCCCAAAATAATAATAATTATTTTTTTTTAAGTTTCTTCGACGACGCTTGCCACCACTATGGGAGAAAGCATTGTCAATAATGCGACCCACCTTCAAACTATATAATTCATAAAACTCGTCAAATAGGTCAACCAAATCAACCCCCCGACCCCCACACTTTTAGAGGAAGCATCTATCCAGTCAGAATGATCCACATAAGTGTCTATGAACTTGCTAGCCACTTGAGCTTTCAACACATCATTAGAAATTTGATAAACTGGTACATCAAAAAAGTGTGCATGTTCAATCGCTCCCAATGACGTATCCAAAATAGCTAAAGGAGAATCATTAGATGCAATAGCCAACTCACACGGACCAATCAACACCTCCACATGATTATCATTAGAAACAACAACATTAAGGGACTTCTCAATAATAGAAGAAGGGATAACTAGTGAAGATTCACCCGCAGGCAAAAGAGCCCCCTCCAAATCAGCTAGATGACCAACATTGTTAGCAATAAGAGGAGGATCCAAGCCAACGACATTCACCATTTAGCCATTGTTAACTGAGTTAGGAAAATCCATCATATCTGAGGAACTACAGAGACATCGACAACATCCAGATCGGGCACCACCAAATGCTCCACCTCACAACAAGGCAAAAGACCATTAGCATTGGCATCAACAACATTATCATTCAAGGGTAAATCACTATAATTATTGACCTGCTCAGAATCATTCACATGTATAGGTTTTTTTTCACCCACATTAACCGAAATAGTAAGGGCTTTTATCAGTTGAGGATGTAAGATATTGCATTCTAATTTCGAATGCCCCAAAGATTTACAATGAGAACAAAAAAATATAAATTCCTCCATAACCACCGACTGGATATAACCCAAGTTGTCAGGAAAAATTGTTTGGAAACTCTAATTCCAACCCACACCATATCGAAAAATTGTTTGGAAACTCTAATTCCACCAGGACACATGCAACCAAGGGCTAAGAACTAATATATATAACATGATCAATTTTAAGAGGGTGACCAAACATGGAACCAAGAACATGAAAAATTCTTGGAGAAAATAGGCGGGGTTTCAGGTTAGGAAATGAAACCCAAATAGAAATAATGGGTGACTCAATTTCAATATCAAACGTAGGAGTAAACTTAAACACCTTCATGAAGCAATTATTCACAAAGTAGGAGTGATGTGTAAACACACGACAGTAATCCATGTCGTTCACAAGCTTAATTAATAAATGCTTAGATATTAGAACAATAACCCAAAATTCACCATTGAGGTTAAGGTTGAAAAAGAATTTACGGATAGCATCTAGTGTGGGTCTACGAGAAGGAAATTTGCTAGCCAATGTGAACTCGAAAGGGGCAGCAAGCAAAAGAATTTTATCTTCCGAAATCCACAACGAGGGCAACCCACAGTGAGAAGAGATTTTGAGGTCATGGAAAAGCGAAAAAGAAGTGCCACCAAATAAAGCATCACAAAATAACCTAGAAGAGCTTTTGTCATCCAAAAAATTGGGATCAACCAAACGTTTGCTCGCCATCGATCGAATACACACACAATATAGACAAAACGGCCAAGAGATCGAAAACCAAAACTCAAGGAAAGCACAAAGAGGAAAGCTAAGAAACTTCCCTGAGAAACTTCCCTGCGGCAAGATGAGACACCAAAGGCCACGAACAGGACTACGATAAAGGGAACGACTCGCGGGAGTGAAACCTTAGCAGAGCACACCGCACGAAGAGAGAGGTGGAGTGAGGCTGAAATTTACACTTGTAATTGTTTTTGCTTTTGATATAGATGAGGCTTTCCCCTCGAGTCTCTTTAGAAATATAAAATAAGTTTTTTTTTTTTTTTTAAATTTTTTACATTTACTTTCCTACCCAACCTTAAACTAAAAAAAGAAAAAAGAAAAAAGAGAAAAGAGGCATTCATTTGAATATTATTAAGACTTCTGTTCTTAGCTTACAGGAAATAAAAATTTAATTTATCATTAATTAAATAAAAAAGTCAAATAAACTAATATTTACTTATTTCGCCTCAACAAATCAAGTGAAAAAAAAAATCAATTTAATTCGTTTTTTTCATTTTTATTTTCATTTCATTTCATCTCTTTCATTTCCAACAAAGCTTTAGAGAATTACTATAAAGTGAAATCTCCCTATCTAATATCAAAGTGATGGATGAGATTTTTTAAATTTTTTTAAATGTAAAAATAATTTCTCCCTGTCTAATATTAGAATTTTTCTTAGATTGCAAGACAAATTTTTTTATATTGTATAGGCTAATTTCTATTTTCCTGTTAAAAATACCGCTTACCAAATTTTCTAAAGAACTTTTAAAATTTGTTGAGAATATTTAATAATTATAAAAAATGTTTTATATAGTTAGCTAAATTTAACTCCTTACCCTTACCCATTATAATCTGGAGCTCACACTGATCTAAGTTTAGCCCAAATCCATTATGCAGCCCATCAGATCAAATAAAAAGCCCATCGCATCCCTAGATTTCCTTGATCGAGTCCACGTGTAAGGCATGGAGACCGCAGAAGTGGATGGAGGGATCCTTCCTATTGGCCAGAAATCCTCCCCAAGATTTCCTTGATGATTTTGTGACATCCCACCTCACTCACTCCACAGCCACACGTCTCAAATATATCCACTACACCACGCGCCTCACATCAGCAGCTGAGGAAACAAAGGCGACGATAAGCCACAAAGAAGTAGTGAGCTCACAGCCATGGCTGCCTCCACTGCTGTCCTCCATGGTTTATCAAGCCCCTTCCTCGCCGGCGCTAAGTCCTCTCGTGCTTTGGTTGCGGGATCCAAGGCGGCCACTGCGGTCGGCGCCATAGCGCCAAGGAGGTTTGTTTTCGTCGCAGCTGCCGGCGCTGTGAAGAAGTCATGGCTTCCAGGGGTGAGATTCGGAGGCAGCGTTGTCGATCCAGAGTGGCTTGATGGATCGTAAGCTCTCAATTCAAACTCAATTTGTTTAGGCAAAAATTTATCAGGATGAAGTTAATTAAATTCCCAATATGCTTACATGTCTCAGTCTACCCGGCGACTACGGTTTCGACCCACTCGGTCTCGGCAAGGACCCCGCCTTCCTAAAGTGGTACCGTGAGGCCGAGCTAATCCACGGCCGCTGGGCCATGGCTGCCGTCGTCGGCATCTTCGTTGGCCAAGCCTGGAGCGGCATCCCCTGGTTCGAAGCCGGCGCCGCCCCTGGCGCCGTGGCCCCCTTCTCCTTCGGTTCCCTCCTCGGCACCCAACTCCTCCTCATGGGATGGGTTGAAAGCAAGCGCTGGGTCGACTTCTTCAACCCCGACTCACAATCTGTCGACTGGGCCACCCCCTGGTCTCGCTCCGCCGAGAACTTCGCCAACGCTACAGGCGAGCAGGGTTACCCCGGCGGCAAGTTCTTCGACCCACTCGGCCTCGCCGGCACGCTCAAGGATGGAGTCTACATCCCGGACGCGGAGAAGCTCGAGCGGCTGAAGCTAGCGGAGATCAAACATGCCAGAATTGCCATGGTTGCGATGCTTATTTTCTACTTTGAGGCCGGGCAGGGGAAGACGCCGCTCGGCGCGCTGGGATTGTGAGTGCGGCATTTCGTCGAACGGGTTGCAGGCATGTCCCCTTTTCAGTTTCTGAATTTGATCGCTTTGGTTGATGTTGCGTCGATTAGTTTGATTGACTGGTTAATTAATTAGTCTTTTGAGACTGGTGGATTACTGAGGGGAAAGCATGCCCATTTTGTATAATATCATTTGTGTTGCATATGTGGAATCATTATCACTCTTTAGTGTTTAAAGATCGGTCGCTTGTTCTATATGTTAGAAACCAGTTGGATATTTGGAGTCATCTGATTTTGCTTCATTATCTTCTAAATTCAAAGAAAAAAGCTTCACCCAAAAAAATAAAAGGTTCACTTAACTTGCATAGCTAAATCAAACAGCTCCCAACTAAATGTGTGAATTTCCTTTTAGAAGTATAACATTATTCAGATTGTAATGTAAAGGCCTCATTAAGCTTATATATGACATATCTTATGCAATGTATATTAAGGTTATTTTAATTTTATTGATAGCAACCTAATACTAATGACCATCAAATTACAAAAACTGCTTTGTAGAAGTTAGAGAGACGTCACTTAGGTTTTGTTTGGGATGACTTTCTTATTGCTTTTTAAAATAACCTTTTAGTTCAAAAAAATTTTGAACTAGAAAATTTTCTACTAGAAAGTTGTATTAGAAAACAGTAAGAAAGTTGTCCATATGAAACTTTAATGTACTGGATTAATCTCAATCTTGCTTTTCTAACAAACTATTATATCATTGCTATTTAATGGAAACGTCTCTTTCTAGAAGCGTATCAAACCTGTAGCAGAAAGTCTCTTTGTAAGGAGTCTTGCCGGTTGGTCCTGTGATGCAATATGGTGGACGATAAGATGTTTGTCCGTGATGCAATCCCGAATGAAGTAATGATCTACTTCAATGTGCTTTGTGCGAGCATGAAAAATTGGATTATTAGCCAATGCAATTGCGGAAGTATTATTGCAATAAATCGAAGTAGGAGTACTGTTGGATATCTAAAAATCAGCAAGTAGGCGTCTTAGCCACATAAGTTCGCTTGCAATAGCTGCCAATGCACTGTATTCAGCTTTTGTTGTAATCTTGTAACTGTGAGTTACTTTTTGACAGACCAAGAGAGCAAGTTGTTATCAATAAAGGTACAAAATCCAGCAAATGAGCGATGATCAAATGAATCAGCCGTCCAATGTGAGTCGGCATAGACTGAAAGCTGTAGAGAAGACTTGCGAATAGGCAGAGAGCAGCTGATGGTACCTTTTAGATATCTAACGACCCTTTTAAGTAATTGGAAATGTGTGTTGGTTGGGCTGTGCATATGTTGACATAAGTAATTAATTGCAAAGACAATATCTGGCCAATTAAACAAGCACGCTAGAAACAAAACATAGGATTTGAAACCTTCTCTGATACCATAAAAGAATTCATGAAGGAATTCAACCTGTAGCAAAAATAACAGAGAGCAAGGAAAATAAAGATAACCAATATTCAGTGTATTGCATTCTCTTCTACTGTTCATGAATACAAGGGAATACATATGTATATAAGTAGAGAGCGATGTATGATGGCTGATATGTGATGGTGAGCACATGGAAGACAATCAATTATACGACCGAGTAGGTAGTTATATACAGTAGGTAGTGGAGCCAAATAATTATGTGTATAGGTTCGATACGTAGGTGGCACCGTGGCAGGCGAAGGCTCGAATCTACTATTGATCTCATCCTTTGTTCACGTAGCCAATCTCACTTATGCTTCGGGCTTTCCGCGCGCTCAGGCTCGCCATTCGTTCTTCTCGGTCCTTTGAACTCTCGCAGCCTTGCTCCCCTCGGAACAACCTCCGGCGACCGTTGTTCTCCTGTAAGGTACGTTTCGTAAGGTTCGTTCTCTTTTTTCTTATAATATTTGCTAAATTAGAAGGATGGACGGCTTGTCCTAAGAAATCTTGATGCTATGAGTTGTGAATCTGTGTATAGATGCATATATAAATATTTATCCAACTGCTTTCTAATTCGTTTAGCATTGATTTATGTTGGGATTGCTAATTTGGTTTTCAGTTGGGTTGATAAATTCCTTATTAGGCTGTAACTGAATATGGCTGTTGGTTCTGTATTTATCATGATTTGGTTCATTTGTTTTTTTTTTTTTTTTTTTTGGGATGAATCTCTATTTGGTTTTAATTGGTTTTTCTGTGGCATGAATTGTGGACTTTTGGATTCAATGAATTTTTTGGTCCTATTATAATAAAAATTCGACTTGCATTCAAATAGTTTGCTTCCATTTTGAGAGGAATTTTTGCATTCAAAAAGTTTGGAAGAATCTAAATATTTGATTTTTGTTGGGAGCTTTGGAGGATGATTGACTTAATTCTTACTCAATATCATGTAGGACCATGATATATATTCTTCCTTAATTTTTTATTTTATTTTTATAAATTTGCTCACCCTAAAAATTATGGCTGGTTCCGCCTCTATAATTAGCAATAGTAGGTCACTTGCAATTTCACATTCATGACGAAGTTTGCTGACAACTCCGCATGATAAGCTTCATTTATCTAATCTTCTTCATGTTCGAACCTTGTATACAATGTTCTCTCCGTTCAAAAATTAGTAACCAACAATTCTTGTTATATTTCCGTTGATGATTCCAGCTTCAAAATAAAAGACCAATGGAGTTCTCCATCAAGGTTCTAGCTGCAATAGCCTATGCCCGCTTAGCCATCACATTCCCTCGCATCTACGAAAAAACTCACATGCTCTCCATAGTTTGCTCCAAACCTGATATCTGCCATTTTGGGCTCGGGCATCAACATAAGCAAGCTTTGTTAAGCAAAGCACACCAATCCATGTCTTGCATCCCTTTCATCTATATAATGTAATACATTTTATTTAGTTAAGAGTCAAAAGTTATATTTTCATTTGTCACACAAACTTTAGTGTTGGGGATAGAAGTAAAACACCGTGATGAAACAAACAAGAAAGTAATAGGATACTAGGATTTAATGTGGAAAAACCCAAAATATGGAAAAAACATGGAGCCACACCGCACCAAGAAATCTACTATGAAAATTGGGAGAAATAAGTACATATCTCTCGTCTCTCACTCTCTCCTTGTTTCTCTTCTTACATGCACACACTCTCACTCTCTACAATACAAGAAATGTAAGAGAAAGTCAAGTATTAAACAACCAAGGGACACAACCCTTAAAAAAACAAGAAAGATAACTGCCTAGTCCGCCTCGAAGCACTATGACACTCAAACCTCTATCTGATGATGTTGCGACATGCACAACACTGTGGCGCCGAATCGAGAGCGCTGCGGCGCTCTGCTTTCTGTCGATCAATGTTGGGGCGTTCGGGTATACATCTCCAGGGCGTTGTACCAACATAAAAAATTTTCGTGTGTAAACCCCCTACACCCCCCATCGAGCACGAGAAAATTACTTGAGGTCCGAGGAATCTAAGCC